ATCCTAAATGAATCTAGTCCCATTTGCCAGCATTTGGCCCATATCCCTCTAAACCATTCCTATTCATGTACCCATCCAGATGCCTTTTAAATGTTATAGTTGCACCAGCCTCTACAACCTCCTGTGGCAGCTTGTTCCATACACACCTCACCCTCTCTGTGAAAAAGTTGCCCCTTAGATCCCTTTTAAATCTTTCCCCTCTCACTTTAAACCTATGGCCTCTGGGACTTCCCTACCCTGGGAAAAAGACCTTGGCTATTCACCCTATCCATGTCCCTGTCCTCCACAAATGCTGCTAGACCGGCTGAGTTTTTCCAGTAATTTCTGTTTTTGTACATTGATACTATCACACAGGTGTGATATAACTGGACATAAAGGTACTTATGCTTCCAATCAGTTATCAGTGCAAAACAAATATTTGGAAAATTCCTTGAATCAGAAGTGGTGAGCCAGGTAACTGAGAGAACTGAAAGTCAGGATCATGTTGCATTGTTGCCTCGGCAAACAGCTTGAATTGAAAGCCCTGCTCTTTTTCAGAGGTCTATTAATTTCCTTCCCCTTATCAGCTTAGAAGTAGATTCTACAAACTATCCTCTCAATCTCCAAGACTAGACAAGCAACTACAAGAAGCAAAGCAAGGTTTACTGCTCATGGCATTTGGTCTTGCTGCACAGAATGCCTCTCTTATTCAGCAAGGTGCATGTTATAGAGAGAGCACTCCAAGAGATGTGGATTTCATGGCTGCTGCAAAGCCCCTTACTGCAGGGGTTGAGATCACATGACTACAGCAAGCCAGCACACTAAGGGCTCTTGAGTTTTAATTGATTCACAGGATGTGGGCATCACTGGCCAGACCAGCATCTATTGCCCATCTCTAATTGCCTAGAGGTCACTTAAGAGTCAACTACATTGCTGTGGGACTGGAGTCATGTGTAGGCCAGACAAGGTAAGGATGGCAGTTTCCTTCCCTAAAGGGCATTAATGAACCAGATGGGTTTTTTCAACAATCGACAATGGTTTCATGATCATTGTTAGACTCTTAATTCCATATTTTTTTAAAATTGACTTCAAATCCCACCATCTACCACAGCAGGATTTGAACCCACATCCCCAGAACATTAATACAACTAATACTCAAGCAATAATGCCGCTAGGCCATTACCTCCTTTCACTGATAGAGTACCCTATCTATGGGCCGGAAAGTCTGGGTTCAAGTCCCACCTGCTCCAGAGTCTGACATAAGATGTCTGAACATGTTGATGAATAAAAATCTCTCATTGCTTTCCTCCAACAAATCGCCAAATTTGCTGTGCTAATTGCATGTCTGGTGTTTTCTTTACGTTCAGTTGGCTAAGGGTTAATTTAAAATCACTTAACAACTGAATCAATTCTTTCGTGTTCGTAATTGCACTTGAGAAGCACTTCTGATGAACAGCATTAGTGTGCAAGGATGGAAACAAAGTCTGACTAAAGAAGTGCAGGTGCTGAAAGCAATCTCTGCCCAACAATATGATGGTGGCTTCCAGATAGTTGGTTGACTGAAGTAAAAACCTGTAAATGGTTAGTGAACTCAGCCCAATATCTGTGTTCACTTGATAAGCTGAAATACTCTTTGCTTATGGCTGTACTCTGGTATTAAGTAATAGAGACTTGGGTAGGGTTAGGGATATGTGAGATGGGGTTGGGGTTGTTATTCCCGTCCTGTAATCGGTCAAGTGGGTAAATCAGAGTTCTAGTTCTTGGCTGCTGACCAGTTGCCTCTGTTTGCAAATGCCCCTCTAAAGCTGAGTCCTTACATGAATCGGGCCTTTAAAGAAAGACAGAAAAATGTCCTGCGTCGTACGAATGTGTCTCTGCTCTGTGATCCAGACAAGAGACAAAAAGTCCATCGTTTACCTGCTGCCATCAAAATACCCAAGAGAAGTCTGTCTGGAATTAATGCCCTTTGAAGAGTGCACAACAGCATTGCAATTTTCATTGGACAACATTGGAATCAAAATTTAAACAATATGGAACAAGATATGCAGGTTACCCTGGGAACAGGGCTATGTTAGGAAGGAAATAACCTGCCTTTTATGAGTTTGTCAAGGTGAGGTGCTGACAGAATCAGGGATTGGAGTACAGTTTTTTCTTCCTTGAGTGGATTTTATTCTATAAACAATCCTTTCTGGCACTGGAAACATGAAAATCTGGTCCCCTTACTGGCCAGTTTGTAGTTTTGTATGCATAACAAATAGTGGAAACTCTTTGATTGGAATCCAGCCTTGGATTCCACAGAAATGAATTTAATTTGATTTGCCACACAACCATAAGATGCTATATATACCCATCATGCAGAATGTGGATCTGATCTTGCTGGAAACAGTAAACATGGGACACCTCACAATGTCTTTTCCCCAGTTCAGCAAAGAAAGCCTTTACAATGTAGCCACTCTTGGCCTTTCTTTGTTCCTGGGGTAAGGAAGGGTTAATCTGCTGTAAAGTTTGGTGGTACTGCTTTAATGTAATGGCCTAATATAGCCAGCCGTTATTGTGTAGAGAAAGGCCAGCTATCTGTACCTTTTTACCGAAGGGTATGGCTCTTAGCTACAATTTTAGGAAGGCAGGATATGATCAGAAACCTGACTGGTGCAGGCTCACATGTAAGATAATGTGATCGGAGTAGGAATGTTGAGGGCTTCCTAACCCCCCCTTGAAACAGTCACTGCACCTGTCCTCACTGGTGTACAGTGGCAGCAGTGCGTACCATCAGCAATTTGCCAAAGTTCCTTCCAGAGTGCTTTCCAAACCCTCCACCTCTACCTCCCTGAAGAACAAGTGTGGCAAGTGCGTGATGGGATTTGAACTGATATTCTATACTTTATTTGCCCAGTGACGTAACTGTAATGCTACCGCATCCTCTTGTGGCCATTGATCATGTCAATCAGTACTGGATAGGCCACACAATGTATGCACATTTGTGCATCAGTTTATTTCAGAATTGTCTTAGATGGGCCGAATGGCTTCATTCTGCGCTGTATGATTCTGTGATTATATATAAACTGGGACTGAGTTGGAAAGCTGTCCTTTTCGTTCCTAATATTAATATTAAAAAGAAGATTCAAAACATACTGACAATGGTAAAACATGACTGACCTTGAACAAATTTGAATGGGGCTCCAGGGTACAGAACCAGAATTGATGTCAATATGACAAATGCAGATGGTGTAAAACAGAACTCAATTTGACAGCAAGGAGCTGTGTTTGTCTCAGTTCTTTTTGTTGGCAGTGGGTATCCCATCAACATATCTGATTACATTACTCTTAAGAACAACTGTACCACATCACAATTCAATTGAATCTTTATCTCCCTGTCAAACCAGGTCTGCTGAGGTTCAGTGAGGAGAGCAATTTTGATGAGAGAAATTTTATTTCTGTATCACTTGCAGCTGGGAGGAGTCCTGAATCCAGCTAAAATTTTGGCTTCTAAAATTTTTATCCAGATAGGGAAATAGCAGAGTTGAGAGTGTGTCCTGGCTTTTCTAAAAATATATCCAGATGATGTGAGCATCAGTTGCCTGCCCAGCATTTCTTACCCTTCCCTAACTGTCCTGGACAAGCTGGCCAGTGAACTGATTTCTTGAATCGCTGTGGTCCATGTGATGTAGGAGCATCCGCAACGTTGTAAGGGACGGTGCTCCAGGAATTTGACCCACTGATAGTAAAGGAATGTGGATATAGTTCCAAGTCGGGATGGTGAGTGGCTTTAGGGATATTTGCTCTGATTGAATAGCTTTCTAATTTTGTCCTCTTCCTAATGTCCTCTGATTTCCCAAGCCACTCTCTTCCTCACTTGGCAATGCAGCAGAAGCAACACAGATCCCACCCTGTAACTGAAAAACCCCTCTGGAGGGCACAATTAGGGTCGGTTGAAGAGGCTAGCTCACACACTCAAAAAGTAGGTACCTTGGTTCAAGAACAAAGGAGTGGTGAGTGCCTATGGAACACAAGTATGAACCAGCACCTCCAGAGCAGGAATACTGCATTAGATGGGTGTCAAGTGGAATTCAGTGAGTAGCACTGTGATCTCTGGGTCAGCATTTCGTCAGTTCTAGTGCTATCACCTTGGCTGATCAGCCAGTGCAGTCCCATGGGAGTGCTGCACTGTTGGAAGTGCCTGACTTTGATGAGACATTCACTTGAGGCCCTCCTCTGTCCTTTCAGGCAGGCAGAAAAAATCCCACTGTACTTCTTCAGGGAAGAACAGTGCCAAATATTTATCTCATTCAACCAGAATCAGTGGAACAGATTACGTGTGGGACTTTGCATTGTCCAAACAGACTGCTACAGTTCCTACATGACAACAGGTGATTGTACTTTAAAAAGCAGACAGATACAAAATGACTTTCTCAAGCTATATTTTGCACAAGAACAACTGAGACATGAGGCAATTACAGCAATGATCAATTCCGATAACAAGATGCGTGGAATCTGCACTCGAATTTTACAAATGCTATTTGAATGCAAATGCTAGCCTTTTTTGCTGTTCCTTATTGAAGGCTACAATTAATTAAAAGTACACTCCCCAGTGGTTCAGTGGGTAAATGCACCATGTGGTTTGGTACATTGATTACGATGGGCCCACTTTCAATTCCCGGACTCTAGCATGTTATCTGTTCTCAGCTGAGGAAAAGCACAGGAATTGGCCAGAGAGCCTTTTGACCAGCAGGAGAGGTCACAGAGTGAAGCAAGCCTCCTGCTCCTGCTAAATCCCCAGTGATCGTTGCTGAGAAAATGGCCCTTTGTGTTCCCATTTAATTGTCTGTAAATTGTGCATTTAAGTATGTGCGTGTACTTATACTTGTCTTTGTGTGTATCTCTATCTATATAAATGTGTGTGTGCTTCCACATGTGGAATTAATGTGTGCTTATTGTGTGTGCATGCACAAATGCATGTGCATGTGTGAATGTGTGTGTCTGTGTGTGTGTGTTTGTGTGTGTGAGAGTTTGTGTGTGTGTGTGAGAGTTTGTGTGTGTGTGCGTGCTTGTGTGTGTGTGTGTTTGTGTGCATTTGTGTATGTGTGTGTGTGTGTGTACATGTTAGTGTGCCTGTGCATGTGTGACTGTTGAGCAAGAATAGAATGGTTTCAACTGCGTTCCTGCCAACATATTGTTGAATACCCCTCAGACCCATGAAGCACACACATCAAACACAAGCACTGATGGGGCACTGCAGCCCAGTGTGAGGTGTTACTTTCAGCGGCATGGGTGGGGGGAGCTGGTTGGCACTGGTCATGCCACGTGTGTGAATTGTTTGTCAAATTACCTGCATCAGAACAGCGCACAGCCTGTGTTGCTGGGTGGGGAGGGAGAGATGAGGCACAAGGTGTATTCACTGTACTATATAAATTATACAAATCAAATTAAAATTCCACCCACTTCCCCAGCAAAGTGGATGAAGATGCTCCATTGTATAAGGTCCACCTATACCCTGGTAAGTCTTATATATAATATATATATATGTGGATCTGAACACAACTGATTCTCAAAGAAATAAATGTACATATACTCAGTTGTAACTTATTCTTCATATATACTATAATAAATGTCTCTTGCTGACATGGATACAATTGCCTGTTAACAGTGTGACAAGTTTCCATCATTGGTGTGGGGCTGGTTTGCAAGGTAATCCTCCACAGACAGTAGCTGAGAAATGAGTAGGGCACAGCTCTGTATGTCATGGTTTGGAAATCCATGGCATTTTTGTCCAGCCAAAGGTTTGATCCCACATGGATTTCAGCACTGTTCAGCTTCTAGGAATCCCTCTTTGTCGTGGCCCATTGGCTCCACCTCGGTATAGGTAGGATGTCCAGTGTTGTTTCTGAACTTCATTGCTGGCCATCTATGGGACCGGCGCTGGGTCAAAATAAAAGAAAAACACACAAAACTTGTAATTAGTATGAAAACCAAATGCCATGGATTCGGAAATCTGAAATACCGAAGATAAAAATGCTGGAAACGCTCTTCAGATCAGGCAGCGTCTGTGAAGTGAGAGAAGAGAGTCTAATCAATGAGGTAGATCCCTTTCTGTCATTTACTATTTGGGTTCCTTAAACTTGGAATCATCTGAGTAGCCGGATGAGTTAAAGAGGCAATGGTGAAGTTGAAATGAATGCTAACATGAATGAAATATAGAAGTTATAGCAACCAGAAAAGATTGAGTAAGCTGTTTTTTTGACCGCCTGGAGAAATGAAGACTGTGGGGCAGACAGGGGTCTTTAAAATAATGGAAGGGTATTCGATAAGGTAAACACATATTTCACACTTGTGGAGATGCCAAAACTAGAAGCTATAAATGCAAGATAGATACTGACAAAGCTAATTTGGAACTGAGGATAAACTTCTGTACCCAGACAGTGGTTAGAACATCGATTCCACCGCTATGTAGAGTGATTGACTGGGGGAGGCAGTAATGTAATGGTACTGTCACTAAGCTATTAACCAATAGGCTAATGCTCTGAAATGAGTTCAAATCCCATCAAAACTTTACCTGGTCTGGCCTACATGCTTTGACAGTAAAGTGGATAACTCTTAAATATCATCTGGGCAATTAGGGATGAACAATATATGCTGTCCTATCCAGTAATGCTCCACACTCTATGAGTGAATTTTAAAATAAAAAATGTGTGCATTTAAGAAGGAAGATAAACATACGGGTGTGAAAGGAATAGAAGGTTATCCTGGAGTGGTTGGAATGGGAGGTGGCTTATATGGAGCACAAGCGCTGAGATGGACCAGCTGAGTTAGGAAGTTGATGCCATTCAATGTCAATGTGAAAATTTGGGACCCTCCCACTGCTATTTGTCAAGGGACCAGAAATGAGGTATTACAATTATCAAGGAGGATTTTTAAAACTTCTGTCACTGGAACACAGAGCCATCTGATAGAATTTTTTAAAAATTCATGAAAGGATTGAGATTTTAAATATTGAAAAACTGCTTCTGGTGTTTTGAAGAATGAATAACCAAGGACATCATCACCAGAAGAATATAAAGAAGATCATTCTGCATGGAGGGTTTCTAGAATATGGAAAACCTTGCAATAAATGATGCAGAGCCGAGAACTTAATTTAAAAGAGAACTGGATCAGTATTTGGGAGCAAGTACAAATGATTACTGGGAATGAGCAGGGAGATGAGCTAGAGCAAATGAGGCACATTTTTCTCTTTAGTATATGTGTAAGGCTTTAACTGCCTGAAACATAAGTTGGAAGCTGCATTAGAAGTGTGGGATCTCTGAATCCCAAATTTCATTTTCATTCAGATAGTCTGTCTACAGAAGAAAACTCTTCACACTTTATAAATATAGCAGAGCGTCCCAAAGGATGTGGCAATGATGAGGGACAGCACACCTGTTCATCTGGGACTATTCCTGCAGGGAGCAGTATCCTTGGCAAGGTTGGGGGAGGTGGAGACAGAGGTCATGAGCAAGGGATATTGAAGGGAGGAAGGAAAGGCCAGGATTTCTGAATAGGAAACTTCTAAGAGTGGGTGAAGAACTAGGTAGGGGAATTGGAGCAGATATTGCTGGATCTGTAACCAGACTGAGTGGCCAGACGAAGCTCCCTGAGCTATGGGGAGAGAGATAGGGCAAAACAGCAGCCAGGGTATGGAGCAGAGTTGCAGACTGGTTGGTTAGCATTGAAGAGCCAGGCCTGCAAATAGTCAGACTGTAGCCACTGACTGTGGCTAGTCAGCTGGGAATTGGTAGTAGATTGAACCAACACTGCAGGGGATCTAGGTAGACCATCTGGGAAACAAAAACTTTGGGTTCAATAGGACACAAGGAAAGAAAGAGTCTGGGAAGCGAGGTAACTGGTGTTAAATGGTCACAGCAAGTTAGCAGTAGGAACTTTCTCAGCTGAACTCATTGCTCAGCTGATTAGATATCAGGACTTAAGTTCTGATGGATCTGTAACATCAGGCAAGTATCCATTGTAAATAGTTCATTTTTCTAAGTTATGTTTTTTGATTAATGTTTATAAGATTCATTTTTTTTAGAATCTTTCTGCAGTGTATTTGTTAAAATCATCTGTTACATAAGGTTAACAGAAAGGAAAATATAAAACATGCTACTAATTAACTCCTCTCACTGTTCCAAAATAAGTGGTCAGCTGTTATGATAAAGATACAGTCAGAGATGTACAGCATGGAAATAGACCCTTCAGTCCAACTTGTCCATGCCGACCAGATATTCTACATTAATATAGATCCATTTTCCCTCTTAACCCTTCCTATTCATATACCCATCCAGATGCCTTTTAAATGTTGTAATTGTCCCAAGCTCCACCACTTCCTCTGGCTGCTCATTCCATACACACACCACTCTCTATGTGAAAAGGCTGCTCCTTTGGTCCCTTTTAAATCATTCCCCTCTTACCATAAACCTATGCCCTCTAATTTTGGATTCCCCTATGAAATGGAAAAGACCTTGTCTATTCACCCTATCAATGCTCCTTATGATTTTATAAACCTCTATAAGGTCACCCCTCAGCCTCTGACACTCCAGGGAAAATAGCCCTAGCCTGTCCAGCCTCTCCCTATAGCTCAAACCCTCCAACTCTGAAAGCATCCTTGTAATTCTTTTCTGAACCCTTTCAAGTTTTATTCTGAACCCATTCTCTCAAAGGGTCATGAGCCTTTGGAACTCTCATCTTCAAAAGGCAGTGGAAACAAAACCTCTGATTTTTTTAAAGGCAGAAGTAGATTCTTGATGAGCAAAAGAGTGAAAAGTTGTTGGGGCTAGGTAGGAATGTGGAGTAATCAGATCTACCATGATCTATTGAGTGGCGGAGCAGCCTGAAGTGGCTGCCTGGACCCTTCCTATTCCTGATTCATATGTTGTACAGGTGCCCCAGGACAAGCTCCAGCCTATTCTCAGCTTCTGCAATACAGTGGGTTAACTGGGAATCAAATAAATGCTTTCAAACTCATTGAAAACTTTTGGAAAATTAGTGAAATGTTATTTTATTCAGTGCTCAGTCATTACTTCCTGTGTTTCAGTGAAAACGAGCTCCAGTCCTCTGAGCTTTGTTTTATAACACTTACTAGGCTTTCTAGGTATCACTGTTCTGAATCTAATTATATGTTTTTTTAAAGTTCTGATAGCATTTCAACAATGAGGTGACTGGAGCTGCACATAATATCACCAGAATTTTGACCATATATATCTCATATAACATGTATGCAGAGCTCAGAATCCCCTGGATCAAATAGGATATATGAGGAAGAAAGGAACAGAAGGTTACACTGACATGGTGAGTTGACTGAGGGTTGGAAGAGGTCCATATGAAGCATCAGCATTAGCACAGACCTGAATATCTTTGCTTCTGGTCTCCTATGCATTTCTAATTTTAATTGCTCCACCATTGGCAGGCGTCCCTTCAGCTGCTAGGCCTTAGGTTTTGAAATTCCCTTCATAAAACTTCTGCTGCTTCTCTCCCATTTTCTTTTTCCTTTTCCTTAAACCTTCCCCCACGCCTTGACCAAGCTTTTGGACACCTGCCCCAATTACCCTTATGTGGCCTAGTTTCAAATTCTGTTTGATCTCACATCTATTAAAGTGTCTTGCAATGGTTTATTATAAAAATGTTATTGTTGGGCTGGGATTACCATAATGCTATATTTTCAATTATTTGATTCCTGACCTCAAAGTCAATGCAGTGACAGAGTGGAGGTCAATTTGAATGACTGTGAATGATGGACTCCTTGATCATTCCAGCAGGTAGAGCCTGTGTCCTTTTAAACATTATTGGCTGTGGTGCCATGAAGGAATAAGCTACATAATCTGATTGATCTTTACATACACTGTAGAACTGAAACTATATGAAATAATTCATTCAGGGGAGGCAGTGCTGCAGCATTAATGTCACCGGACTTGTAATCCCGAGCCCCAGGTCAATATTTGGCGGAAATCGGTTCGAGTCCCAACATGGCAGACGAATTCAATAAAAGTCTGGAATGAAAAGCTTGTCTAATGCTGATGAGATGACCATTTGTCAATTGTTGTAGAAACTCATTTGCTCCACTAATGGCTTTTAGGGAAAGAAATCTGTCGTCCTTACCTAGTCTGTCCTACATGTGACTCCAGACCCCCAACAATGTGGTTGACTCTTAACTGCCCTCTGAGTAATTAGGGATGGGCAATAACTGCTGACCTGTCAGGCACGCCCACATCCCATGCACGATTAAAAAATAATCAATTCAACAATTATTGTTCAAGAACAATAACAGAAATTGGTGGAGAAACTCAACCAGTCTGGCAGCATCTGTGGAGAGAAAGCAGAGTTAATGTTTCTGCTCCAGTGATCCTTCTTCAGCATGAGTTCTTAAGGGTCACTGGACCTGAAACGCTAACTCTGATTTTTCCCCACAGATGCTGCCAGGCCTGCTGACTTCTTCCAGCAATTTCTGCTTTTGTTTCTGATTTCCAACATCTGCAGTTCATTAGTTTTTTTTATTGCTGATTGTGTGCGAGCAGTGAGTGCTGTCGTTAGAGATTGCCTGTCCCTTCTAAGCTCCATGGCTTGTTAAAGGTCGGCTCATGATGAAATGAACTCAGTAGTTATGCTGACCATAACAATGTGACTTTAGGAACAGTGTGACTTCAGGTTCAAATCAGAGCAAGGTAGCTTCCTAGTTTAATTTTATCCAGTCACATTAAAAATGAGATGACTGATGGAGATAATTGAACGAAAGGAACACGAAACACATCTAAACTTTTGAATGGTGAGCTTGAAAGTGATTATAACAAAATCCCTCCAGTCAGATGCTGACATCCAAAACTTACCAAAATAAACCTGAATATGGAGGATACTGAAAGTTCTGGCAATTGTCTGTGGGGCACAGGAAAGGAAGG